TCTTAAGTGAGAATAACAGCACAATTCGAAGAGCGTAGGCAATGTCACTGAACTGTGCATGTAGAAATTTTTGAAATGGTGTATCTTTGGCTATGTGTATTTTCACACAAAAAAAAAGGCTGAGAAGTTAGAGGGTTGATATGTTGTGGGGTTGTTAACCAATGTCATAAAACAACATGTGCACTTCTGTTTCATGAGAAACTATTCTATAAGTCTTCACCTGAAGTACAATTAAAGAAGAAAAAAAAAAAAGTGCCTAGGCCAAAGAGACCACTGTCTCCCAGTTATCTTCTTTACTGACAAGGGTGAATGTGACAGGGCTGAGCTGAGGTTAGCCTGCACTGACCCGAATGGAGTAGGGTTGGGCTTGGCCAGTCTGAGGGGCTACGTCCTGCTCCTACTTACCCATCACAGAGGCCAGCGTGTCCCCCATGGGATTGAATTCATTGAGCTGCAAAGACAAGAGGAGAGGGTGAAGGTATTGGCAGAGCCAGAGAAGGGCAGACAAGGACGAGTTTCTGGTCATTTTTAGTCATTAAGGTAGGTTGAGTCCTGCTTCCTCCCATCATTATTCGAGGGCCCAAGCCTCACCGAAATGATACCAGAATATTCTGGGTCATAGAGCTGACACATCATATTCCCTGAGCTTCCATCAAACACATCGATCGTCCTTAATTCATGGGGAGTACAGCTTTTGAAATTAGGATCTGGGTACCGGCCCACGAAAATGAGGTTGTACCGAGGATGCCAGGTTGCCTAGGAGATGGAGAGGCTGGTCACAAGAGTAAATGCGGAACATTATCAAGAGGAACATCACAAGTATTCTTTGCCACGAACAAGCCAGCAATTCAGTAATGAAGATGAGACCCACATGAAACTCTTAAGAGTGGTTTTCAGTTGTGTGTGCATCTAGCATTGCTAACTTCCCTTGAAGGCCCTTAGGATACCATTTGGCCTTCTCTCTTTCATTTCCCGAACTCACACCAACTGATAAACTGAAGCTTTAACATCAGCCTGACCCAGAAATTAACCAAAAAGGTAAGCTATGACAAAGTAAAAAGCATCTGGTACTGAAACCAAATAAGAAGTTCTGAAGTAACCCCACTACTACCCCTCCCTCCATCAATGTGAATAACGAAGAGTGGAGTATAAAAGAACTAGTGGCTATAAAAGGGGAGGAAATCTGTGTTCCCAGATTTTCCCATACAAACAAATCTGGCAGTTAGTGGAATGACACACTGGATGAGATTTTCTAAGAAAGCATCTCAAGTTTTGAAGGAGGAGAGACACGGTTAACAGGAAGGAAGAAGCGATACATGCAATGACTTGGAAATAAGTCACAAAAATCACACATGGGAAGCTGTAAATTGGCCTGGCTGGATACCAAGAGCAGAAAGCATATAGTGGGAGATGAGGACAGATGGACCAATGGGAACACCAACTGGTGAAGGATCCTTGAATGATACTGAACTTGGATTTGATTTGAGGTACATGGGGACCACTCTGATAGAAAACCACTTCGATTTACTAAATACTTACCAGGTGCCAGGCATGCTGCTGAGTGCTTTAAGTATACTGACTCATTCTCATAACAACTCTATCCGTTAGACACTATTATTCCCTTTTTACAAATGGGGAAACTGAGATCCAAAGGTTAAGTAAATTGCTCAAGGATTCGAAAACCCAGGAACGTCTGACTGCCTGAAGCTGGTGCCCCCCACCACTATGCTATACTGACCAAAGAAGTACAGGCTTTAAAAAAGAACAGAAGCTACTACAGTCGAGGAACTGGCAGAGTTCCGACTGTAGAGGGGCTTGGGCAAGAAGGAATCAGGACTTGAAAGCTGTGAACCCTGGGGACCAAGGACAGAGAAACCATGAACCATTACAAGAAAACTGGGAAGAGACAGGAAACTAAGGAACTTATTTCTCTTATTAGAAGCCCCCTCAACCTGCGAGACAAACTAAGAAGGTTAAGGGTAGCTTGTGGAGTCAACTGCATACACAGGTAACTAAAACCGCAAGAGGAGAGAAGGGAGGATCAGGATCTTAGAAAATGCCTACAGTGATGTCAGGGCTGGGCTGAAAAAACTCAGAAAAATAGCTTATCAGAGAGACATAAAAAGCAGCAAATGGGATTGCAGAAGTAGGAGAAAAGGAGCAGAGAGAGCCAGGAGGAGAAGGCTGCTTTGTGTCGGGACAGAAAGGTGTCTGGGATTCCAGGCTTACAATATCTGCTCCCTGCCCCTTGCAGGCCGACCCCATGATCACATCTCCCTTGCCTCCATCATTCACCTTGATGGGCGTGAGGTGCTGGAAGTGGCGGTGAGGGTGTGGGATCACGCCCAGGGGGCAGTCCCACTGGGAGGCAGAGTAAACCCGGATCTCGCTGTTCTGGTCAGTGGTCAGGAGCCGGGCTCCATCAGGACTGAAACAAGCTGGTAAAACAAAAAGCCCCTGAGCTGAAGGCACTGTGACCCTCCCGTTGCCCTGGCCTTCACAGGCCTTCTCTTGCAGGGCACCCTCCCTCCACCCTCTCTGGATAGGGTAGAAGGGAAAAGATGGACCTCAGCTGTGGACAAACTCAGCAGCTGAGTTTCTGGCAGCCACAGCCAGAAGGGTCCCAGGACATCAGCTTGGCTGAGGCTACCAGGGGGAAAAGGTCTGACCTAGCAGCTTCGAAACTTGGAGGGAAAACTCCGGGAGCGGATGGATGGGCAGGGTCTGCAGGGAAGATGAGGTCTGGTATGTCACACCTGCGTTGACAGGATGCCTGTGTGGCAGCGAGGAGAGGAAGCTGGATTTCCCTCTAACCTGGCGCAGGTCCCAGATTTTCACTGTTTGATCTACAGAGGCTGTGGCCAGGAGCCAATCACAGCATGGGTTCAGGGCCACATGGGTCACCTTCTTTTTGTGCAGTCTGAGATTCCAAAGCTGCCGAGAAGAGCTCGGTTCAGGTGGGGGCATGGAACCAAGAGTGCAGGTGAGGGAGGGATGGGGAGGGCCTGTGCTACAGAGAACGCACCTCCTTGCCGTCCATGTTCAGCAGGACCACTTGCCCCGCATTGTCTCCTGTGACCACCACCCGGCTTCCGGCAGACACGTCCAGGCTGCAGAACCAGAAGCTAAAGGAGAGATTATGCTATAAGGTTCTTGGGGACTGGGATGAGGGCCACATATTTACTGTTCCAGCTCCAGTGTCTAACACACAGTAGGCATTCAATATTTGTTGAGCGAATATAAATAATTGCCTTGCCATGGATTCCCAGTGAGGAACATACAGATTTGTCTATTTTCCAGACAGAGGGTTTGAGGGAGATGGGGCCCAGATGTTTGTCCACTTACTGCTGGGCCCAGGATTCTCAGCTAGTAACAGTCCCCAAAGCAGCCAAACCTCAGAACAGTAAGGCAGGTCCCCAAGGTAGCTTCCCCCCATAGCCCCAGATTCTGAGGGAGACTCATTTACCTGCTCTCTCCCGTCACTCTCCAGCCTCTGGGTGAAAGGAAATGACAATCCTGACCAAACAGGGACTGCCCAGCTCTGGTCCTCAGACCTGGCTAGAAAGGAACTTCTGCCCCCTTCTGAGCACTTAGGGAAAAACACATACATAACCCAGATGCTCTTGCTTGCTATTTTTGCTCCTTGAACTACTCGAGGATGAGGGGATAGGATAAGGGGGTACTTCAGGGATCCTGACACCCAGCCAGGAGAACTCATTCACATTTTGCTCTCAAACCCCCAAATCCATGCTACACTGTCTCTTGTCATCTTCTATGAATAAGAGGGAGGGTGTCTATCCAGTCACCTGTCCTAATTGCTCATGTGTTTCTTACCCCCACGGGGCAGCCCAGGAGAACAGCCAATGCTAGTTAGACCCCCACACCATTACTTAGGGAGCACTCAGAATTATGTCTTTGGCTAGAAATCAAAGTGACAAGTATTCTGTAATTCCTCCAGCCACTTGCTCTTGCTGAGTCCAAAGGACTCTATGGATGTGATTCTACCCATTTAAGCTTCCAAGGAGCTGGTCAAGTCATTACACACAGCTGAACGTAGGGAATTAAACCTTAAATTCATAGTTCTTGCCCCAGTCTCTAAGTGGCTTTCTAGGCCAATGCCACATTGACTTGTCTAGTTGGAATCAAGGTCTAGTCTGACATAGGTATGACTTATATAGAAGGGCTGAAGTCCTTGCCTTGCTGAGGAGAGCTGAGACTCCAGAACACCTCCCCAAGGCGGTAACCCCCCTGGACCAAAGTAAGGGCAGCCAAAGAGGGAGCTGAAGAAATAGAAGGAAGGGTGGAAAGGTGAACACCTTTCCCTTCTTCCCCGTGCCAGGTTTGGGTGCAGGAAATGGGGTCTGAAAGCTCTCACCAGAACTACACCTAGGGCCTAGAAGCCCTTTCCCCTACTGGTTAAACTACTCACTTGCAGGTGCCTGAGCTGGTAAAAACTCGGAGAGTGTTGCCTTTAAAGTCTTGCAGCCTAGTTGTTCCCTCCATTGAGGAGGTAAAAAACTGGTTGGTATTGAGAGGGTTAAACTTCAGCCCTGTGATGCTCCCTCCAGCTCCAATCTAACGTGAGGAAGGAAAAAGCCAGTGAGTGATGATGGACCAGGACAGGAACCAGGCCGCTCCGACAAAAGCTTCAGCCAGCACTTGAGGCCAGGCCAGCTGATATGTCTAGAGACTAGGATGCTCTCCACAGTGCTTTTTTCAAGTTGGTTTTTTTAAATATATATATATTTTTTAAGTTAAAACACATATATTGGCCCTTTTTGGTGTAAAAGTCTATGAAATTTAACACATGTATAGATTCAAGTTAACTACCACTGTAATCAGGATGCAGAACAGCTCTATTGCCCTTAAAAAACTCCTTCATGCTCTCCCTTTGAAGTCATACCCTCCCTCTACCCCAAACCCTGGCAACCACTGATCTGTTCCCCATCACTGTAGTTTTGCCTTTTATAGAATCTCATATAAATGAAATCATGATATGTAACTTTTTGAGACTTATCCAAGTTGTTCCATGTATCAATAGCTCACTCCATTTTATTGCTGAGAAGTATTCCATTGTACGGATGCACCATAGTTTGCTGATCGCACCGGGCTCTTTTTAGAAGAGCTTCAACTTGGAACAGTAGCTGAGTTAGGAGAGCAAGAGTCAGATCTGGGTTCCTTCCTATTCTTCCTGACATCCCACACAGTGATGATGAGAAGAGTAATGATACCCTCAACAGCTTAAACTTATTAAGTGCTTATTATTCGCCAGTCACGTTCTAAAGACTTCACATCTCCAGAGCTCCTTCTCCACTCTTCCTTATGCTGCTGCTATCTCAGCCTCATAGACCCATACAAGGTCTCTTAAACAACGCCTACTTAACCAACTCAACAACCAACTGGCACTTTGCATTTACTCCATAAAACATTCTAACCAATGGCCAGTCTGCCAAACCCTTGCCGCTAGTAAGACAATCTTCTGCTCCCACCATCTTAGTTCTATGCTTATCAAGAGTTAGTTGTGTTTGTTCTTAAACCTTTTTGTGCCACTTATGTAACTGAATTAAACATGTAAACCAATGGAATAAGTGCAAAAAGAAAGACTGTTATTTCTTGTTGAATGCTTTGGAAAAACTAGATAAAAATGTGTTGCTAAAAATAATAGTTGTCTAAATAGATAATAGTTGTCGATTAAGCATGGGTGAAATACTTAGAAAATCGGGTGGGAAATAAAAATTTAGGAAGAATCTTCAATCAGATTGCTTCACAAGTATCTTTAAATTATCTCTCCACCTTAGAGAAGTGGAAACTAGACCCTATAAAGAATACATTATAGTGGTTTATGTAAGACCAAATGAACCCTAATCAGTGGATCCATTCCAAGAAAAAGGTTGGCTCTACATCAAAGCATTAATGAAAAACATACACATATACATTCTGTGTTAAAACATATGAATGCCCCCTTTCTGGTAACAGGAGACTAGGTGGTTATGATCAACTCTTGCACTAAAGAAGGACCAGAAAAGCAAGACAAAATAGTTTTAAAAATCTATCTGAACAACAAAAAGACAACCCACTCGAAAAATGGGCAGAGGACTTGAATAGACACTTCACCAAAAAGGATATACAAAAGGTCAACAAGCACATGAAAAGATGCTCAATGTCATTAGGCATAAAACCAAAACCAAATCCATTGCTGTCGAGTCCATTCTGACTCATAGCAACCCTGCAGGACAGAGTAGAACTGCTCTGGGTAGAAACAGGGTTTACAAGGAGCAGCTGGTGGATTCAAACTGCCAACCTTTTGGTTAGCAGCTGTAGGTCACCATAGCTCTTAACCACTTCTCCACCACGGCTCCACGAGGGAGATGCAAATCAAAACCACAATGAGATTATATCACCTCACCCCCTCTACAGTGGCTGATTAAAAACAAACAAACAAACAAAAAAACCAGAAAACAATACATGTTAGTGAGCATGTGGAGAAACTGGAACGCTTATCCACTGCTGGTTGGAATACAAAATGGTAAAGCCACGGTGAAAAACAGAGAAGTACCACATGGTCCAGCAATCCCAATCCTAGGCACATACCCAAAAGAACTGAAAGCACATACCCAAAAGAATTGAAAGCAGAAACACAAACAGAAACCTGTATACCAGTGTTTATTGTAGCACTATTCCCAATAGCCAAAAGGTGAAAACAATCTAAATATCCATCAACGAATGGAAAAACAAAATGCGGTATATACATACAATGGAATATTACTCAACCATAAAGAGAAATGAAGTCCAGGTACAATGTACAACATGGATGAACCTTGAAAACATGCTGAGTGAAAAAGTCAGTCACAAAAGGACAGATATTGTATGATTCCACTTATGTGAAATAGGAAAAAGTACAGAGACCAAAGCTTATTAGTGGACCAGGGTGTGAGGGAGAGGGAAGGGGGAGTTATTGCTTAGGGGGCGCTGAGTTTCTGTTAATGGTGGTAGAATAATTTGGAAAAGGAGAGTGGTAATGGTTGCACAACATGATGAACGTAATCAGTGCCACTGAATCGTACATGAAAAAATTGTTGAATCTGCAAATGTTATAAATATTTTTACCACACACCCGCCCACACACACACATGAAAATCTATGTGAGATTTTCAATTCCAGCTATGATGAGTTAACTTGTGTCAGGGCAACTTTCTGTCAAGAACAACTAGAAAAGTTAGATTAAATATATGTCTTATAAAGAAAAGTTTTTTACTTTGGTGAAGGGTAAGACAGTGCACAATACTGGGGAAGCCAGCACAACTTGTACAAGGAAAGGTCATGGAAGCTCCATAGACACATCCAAACTCCCTGAGGGACTGAATTGCTGGGCGGAGGGCTATGAGGACCATGGTCTCGGGGAACATCTAGCTCAATTGGCATAACACAGTTTATAAAGAAAATGTTCTACATTCTACCTTGGTGAGTAGCATCTGGGGTCTTAAAAACCTGTGAGCACCCATCTAAGATACTCCACTGGTCTCACCCCTTCGGGAGTAAGGGAAAATGAAGAAAACAAGATACAAGGGAAAGATCAGTCCAAAGGACTAATGGACCACAACTATCATGGCCTCCACCAGACTGAATCCAGTATAACTAGATGGCGGCCAGCTGCCACCACTGACTGCTCTGACCGGGATCACAACAGACGGTCCCGAACAGAGATGGAGAAAAATGTAGAACAAAATCCTAACTCACAAAGACCAGACTTACCGGCCTGACAGAGACTGGAGAAATCCCGAGCGTATGGCCCCGGACACCCTTTTAGCTCAGTAATGAAGTCACTCCCAAGGTTCACCCTTCAGCCAAAGATTAGACAGTCCCATAAAACAAGACTAATGGGGCACAACAGTCCAGGGACGAGGCCTAAAAGGCAGAAGGGGACAGGAAAGCTGGTAATAGGGAACCCAATGATGAGAAGCGACAGTGTTGACATGTCGTGGGGTAGTTAACCATTGTCATAAAACAATGTGTACTGTTTAACGAGAAACTATTTGTTCTATAAACCTTTATCTAAAGTACAATTAAAAAAAAAGAAAAGAAAAGTTTTTTAAAGCACTGGGGAGCTATCAAGGCAGCAAGGATCTGAAGGCCAAGATTTGGAGAGAAGAGAAGCAGAAAGGTAAGCCTGACATTTGGATGCTGCTTTTCCCTTAGCAAAGAAACCAAACTGCATGGAAGCTGAACAGAAAGTGGTGGCTAAAAGGCTGAGAAGCTGAGCGGAGGTTTTGTCAGTCTCACCGGGCTAACCAAACCAGCTGCTATAGAGTTGACTCCGACTCATGTCACCCCATGTGTTTCAGGGTAGAACTGTGCTCCGCAGGGTTTTTGGTGGTTGTGATCTTTCAGAAGTAGACTGCCAGGCTCTTCTGAGGAGCTTCTGGGTAGATTTGAATCTCCAACCTTTCAGTCAGTAGCTGAGTGTTTGTCTGGCTCACACAGAGACTCCTCTCACAGGGCTAGGGGGAAAAAACTGGAGTGCAGGCTTGTCAAGGAGAAGAGGGGAAAAATCCAGTTTTTAGTTAGCATCCCTGACACTCTAGAAATAAGAGCAAACTGGAACTGACCATTCCTTGCAAAGACTGCAACTCAGTTTCAAATAATTTCAACCTTTGATTAGATTAAGAAGATATCAACAGTTCCGGCAAAATGGCGCTCTAGCCAGAAGCACCATGCCGTCCCTCCACAGCAAAGATCCGAAAAACTAAGCCAAACAGAGAATACAACAATCCTGAAACCCTGAAACATCAAATGAAGAGATAAAGAACTCAGCCAAGCACCAACTGGAGTGAGAAAACTGACAGAGAACGGAGAGCAAGGAGGGATTCAAGCAGAGGTCCCCTACCAGCTAATGCAGCACGGATCCGCCATCTTGGACTCCTATCGGAGATCAGCAAACAGCGGGTACGAGAAAGCAGCCTCACGGAGCGTCCAGCGGGAGACAAAACAACCGGTAATTTGCGATATACACTTTCCCACCCCCCACCCTTCTTCACCTGGACTTGGCCTCCTCTACTTCCCGTGGCCACAATCTCTTGATCGGGAAACACCGGCTGCTTAGATTCCACTCACCCGAACAGGCTGGCTCTCTGGGTGCCATTTGTTGGCTGCTGGTGTTGCTTTTTTCC